AAAAAAAAGAAAGAAAGAGGGCTTTCAAAGAAGTATTTGTTCTTCAGAAGGGTTTTCTATTATTTCGAATATGTCTAGTTTTCTTCTATTCTCTCTAAATGTTCTGCCTGTAGAAAGGAAGTTTGAGGGTGGGAGGTAATATAAGTTGGTGGGGGCTCAAGATATAAAGGCTCATGTTCATTTATCTCAGCATTGAAAAAATCCCGTCTCACCTCTCTCATCCATTCTCGAATCGTTTTGCCAGCTTCTTGATGCCACACATTGTGAACAGAGTCTGTCAACGCCACAGCAGTTACCTTACTTTTTACATCTGCTTCTCGTTGAATCATCTGTTTTAAAAAAAAGAAAATAAAATATTGGCTATAATATTTTCCTACTGGGTGCAGCCTGCTTAGTCATAGATAATAATATATTAAAAATGAAAAAGCAATATACATCTCTTGTTCAAAGTTACTCTTTTCTACACTGAACACATGCCCTATTTTTATCCAGAGATGTGAGGAGACCTAATATTTTCTTTTAAAAAGATAATACCACTTAAAGCTTAGAACTATGCAGCTCTATTATTTTCCATGTGGTTTGACAAATCAAGGATTAAAGGGATCCCAGGGGAAAAAAGAGGAATCCCTGAGGGTTTCTTTTACAAGTTTCTTCTACCACTTCCTATTTCAGTGCTTTAGGGAAGTTAGTGCCCAGAGTTCACTGTTAGCTACTTAAGACTAACTTCTATTAACTTTTAGTAAGTAGATGGCACCTAAGTAAAGAAAGCTATCTTGCTTTGACATCTCTGATTTAACTAGCCTGCTCTTCATCATGGCCTTGTAACTCCTTGGTGTTTTAAATGCCCACAAAAATCTTTCTCTTCAAAGTCTTAGCAATATAGTTTTGATATCTAATATATTTCTTTATGTCGACAAATTATTCACTTTAACTTCTTTCTATAGAATTTTATTTCTAGAAAATTAAATGGTTCTGAAATTAGAAAAAGAGCCACTTGACTTGAAGAAACTGATGAATTCATCAGTGATCTACAAGATAAAGAAACTGAAAACTAATAGTTCTAGATTAAAAGAATCATAAAAGGTTTTAATCTACTAACACTAATGACCTCAATTTGACACAACAAATATAAGAAAGCTTAATAAAAAATTATAGTTAAAATACAGTAAGTAGTAGTCTTGAATTTCATAGCCATGCTCTATTTTCTTACATCAAATGTCTTTTCTCTCTCTAAAACAGAGCAATTTCTCTATCATTTGCTGTTAATTTCTATGAATTATATGTCAAAAATATATTACTACATTTAAAAAAGGGAGAATTCTGAATGGCTCATATAGAGAACACTGCAAGCCATGCTTATGATACCAAATTATGCCTGTTGGCATTCTGAATTTAAAATGTCTGTCTCTGTTAAATTTCTTTAAAGCCTGAATATACACATCCCCTCTCACTGAACACTACCTAATGGAAATCTAATTCACTGTTAATGCTGCCTCAGCAGCATTTCTGCACTTGAAATCTTTGTGCATTGTGTTTTCTGCTTATATAATGTGAAAATCTTAAAATCAATCTTGGTTATCAACATTATAATATTACTGCAAAAATTCACCTTGCAATAACAATATTTTTAAAAGCATAAAATAATACTCTAATTCAATACTTCACATTCATTATTAAATAGTTTACTACCTCTTTCTAGATTTTATTTTAAAAATAGATTCTCATTGGATCATGTTGGCACTAGAATATAAAAATTTAAAACATTAGTAATAAAAAGCAAAATTCCACAATAGTGACTCCATCTGGCTCATGAAGAACTTATATGTCCTTACTCTCATTTTCTAAACAGGAACACTTTTAGAGATCTAGAGCAATTGTTGCTGAAGTTATAAAATAAAAACATGCTCTTCTAGTAGTCTAAGGATATATCTGCATTTAAAAATATTTGCCCTGGATTATGTTATGGTTGTTGTTAACATATGTTGGCTTATTTAAGGCAGTGGTGTCTGAAGATACTAAATACTGAAGGTCGTTTGTGAAATGATATAAAATTAAGTGTTGAGTAAGCTGAGGATTTAGTGCAAAAGCAGAAAATCTGGGGATCGAAATTCTACAAACTTGAAAAAATATTCAATTGTTGGATGAACTCTCAGAGATAAAAAAACAAACAAACAAAAAAAAACTTTTGTCTGTTTGTCCATCTGGATGATATTTCATAAAACAGATGTCATGATGTGCAACTTCATATCACATCAAATCACCTTATAAACCAGCAAGATACTCCTTTACACTGTTATAGTCCTTTGCAGCTTAAAAATCACTATTACATTATATTAGTAGAGATGAGGTATGGTCATATTACAGAGGATCTCAATGAACAGCTGTTTACAAATGAACCTAGTAACAAAGAATTTCAAATATCTGACTGTTTGGTTCATAGCCTCTCTTCGCTCCTGTACTCCTACCACGGTTATGAGCACTGATGAAAAGTGTGGAGAATGGCAGTAGTAGAGGTAGACTGAACACAAGAATCAAAATTGTTTAATAAGAGACAGACCTGAGATGGAATACAGCTAAAGCAAGCAATGGGTAGAGACTCAGCTGGACAGGAAAACAACTTCCACGGTAGTCTATAATAGAAGAACATAATAGTCTGGAAACCCCAGAAATCTGAAAGGGAGGAAGCCTTATCACCAAAAGTCTTACTATATGTCAATCTAATGTGGGGATGTGGTTTTTATTAAGATTCATGGATATAAACACCTTTGAAATTCCTTGCAAAATTCTCTGTATATGATACAAGTATTTTTCTGGGAGAGGATCCTTAGTTTTCTTTAGATTATCAAAGGGACTTTAGTCTCTAAACATGGTAAGAACCCTGTGATCTCAATGTCTCCATGTATTCCTGAGTGAACTATGAAGTACATGCTAAATGATCTCTTTAAACAATTACACTTAAGATCAATTTAACACCTATATCAATCTTTCAAGTAGAAGGGATGGTGTTCCATTTTTGTTATAATGTCTTCAGTATGGTATCAAAAGTTGGATAAAAATGAAAAAAAAAATGATATCCCAAATATCAACATCTTAAAGTTCCATGGCTTAATAGTTTTGTATGGTAAAATTACAGTTAAAATAGTGTTTGTTTATATTTGTGTGCATAATATTCATATCTGAGTAGCACTGTATAAATTTCAAAATGAATACATATTCATTCTCATTTTACTGGGAAATATTGAAACGAATGCAAAACTTGTATCGTTTATCCCATTTGCAGAAGAGGAAACTGAGGCCGAGAAACTAGGTAAGGGCCACATACATATGTGGCACAACTGACTTGACCATGACTTTAAATCCTGTGTTCTTTCATCTGTATCACATGGGTATATTTCTCAGTGATATATTATAATGCTCCTACACAAATGAACTCATTTGATTAATTTCCTTTTCTAGTATACAGTATTCCACTGACTTGGACATTTTTAACAAATGGTTTAAAAAAAAAAAAGATCCAAATCCAGATCAGTAAGGAATGATAAAATTCTAAAAATATTGCCAAGATAGAAATCAGCCATGAGCAATAACAGACTATCAAGAGCATTTAAAAATTATTATTACAGTTGTAAAATAAATGATGTTTAGGATAAGAGAGAAAATCTGAAATTTCTATAAATCATACTGATGATGTGAGAATTAATACAAAATATTTGATGCTGTCATATGATATTCTTGTTTCTCCTTAATTCTATCCACTTATTTACTCAGTCTTCTCACTTCAGCTTTTACACAATTGATCTGCTCTTTCCTTCACTGTATAGCATGTTCCCAGTCTGACAAAAATGTAACTAACTCAAAAAATATCAAGTTTTTCAAACAGATTAAAAACATATACTATCTGCATGCAGGCTCATCATTAAAAATTTTGATGGGGTTGAAATTAAGAGGAAAAATACCTCTTCTTTTATTATTATTATTTTCTTCCAGAGTAAGAGTAACATTTTAGACATTAAGTAATTGTAACAAGACAGAAGAGTTAAGAGAGTATTTGGGGAGATGAAGACCAGAGGATCAGAGGGGTAGTGTGGGAGGGCCAGAGTCAGCAGCAGCTAGCTACCTTTGCTCCCTCCCATAGGTATTATGCCCATTCCACATAGCTGCTATAATCTCTTCCCAGAAATCACGTAGAGCTTTTCTATCTAACTTACCATGCTTTCACCAAGGCCCTCAAGTGATGTACCTGCCTACTGTCTGCACAAGCACGTGGCCAAATCCAAATACTTCATGTCACTGTTAAAGTTCACTGATTCTCTTTTTGGACTTACAAGCTGTTGTAATTTTTCCTTGGGTTTCATTTCTTCTAGAACTCTACCATGAGCTACTTTTAGCACAGGAAAACACAAAGACTCTTTTTACTCCCACTAAATCAAGTTAAAAAGTTGCCACCCATTTGTCTTAGCTTAGAAGATAAACTTTGAAGGCAGGGAGACGTGGATGTTACAGGGATGCTCTGCCATGAAGGTAGTTTCATATCTCTAGTTGAAGGGCTTGGGTTCTGGAAATTAAGAATCCAACCTATTACTAGGGTCAACGTTCCAACTCTAAAGAAGTGAATGCTAAATTGAGCTGTCTTCACCCTACACTAAAAGAAGAAATGGATAATTTCATTTTCCCATAACTGCAGCCCAGCAGCCATGGCTCTCAGAATAAATAGGTCTTATATTTTCAAGTTGAAGGGGACTTCCTGAAAGGCCAGTGTGGGTTGGGGGTAGGAACGTCTGTATGTGTATGCAGGCTCATATTTTTATTTGCATATATAATATGTTTTAAACATGTTTTTGAGGGAAATGTTTTAAAGTCTTTCATCAGCAAAAGCCAATAGCTTCTTTGAAAATTCTGACATATGTTACACATATGCACTGTGAGGGTTACAGCATGTGAATAACTTGTACAGGAAAGAATACTCTAAAAGAAAATCAAATAATGCATGTTTCCTTCAGATTAGGATCTGCCACTAATATACATTTATAAATCTGAGGATCATTGCTACTGTATGAACATGAATGAATCATCACTCTGGTTAACAGCATGGTTGAGGTTTGAGATGTCTTTTTAAAAAATATGTATGTATATAAATAGATTAGTTCCCTCTAGAGTTCCTTGAGTTAAGATTTCAGATTAAGTTGTTTCAAAGGTTTCAAAAGTATAAAAAGCTGGTATCTTTTCACATTTTTGCTACGGAGATTATAATTACATCCAGTGCTTTTATTTGAATGTAGTCTTTATGTGGTTTAATAAATTATGGTATTTTACCACAAACCTCTCCCAT